AGTCTGGCAGGCTACAGTCCACGGGGTCACAAAGAGTCCCACACGGCTGAGCCACTATCATTCGATGCCAGGCAGTGACACTACACAAATACATAAAACCTAGTGTTGTGGGTTGAATTGTGTCCCCCAGTGCGACATGCTGAAGTATTAACCCTCCCTCTGGCGTCCCTGGTTGCTCAGGTGGAAATGCTGCAGAAACCAGTACTCAAGAAACCAAGCACCACTCTCAGAGAGCTGGAGAACTCAGGTTTATTACGCCGGTGGGCCCAGAGGAGTTCACACTTCAAGCTCTGAGCCCCGAACAAAGGGTTACAGAGTTTTTAAAGACTGCAGTGGGCAACTCTAGCTGTTAATAGGCTGGTTTAAACTAAAGTGTTTTGCGTGCGTGATAACAGTGGTCAAGATGGGGAGGGGGGTGCCTGACCTGGACAGGCATGATTAAGTAGGTTTGCAGGGGCTAGGTGACTGCAAAGAGCAAGACAAGGGTGAGTGAGATAAACTCCAGTTCCTAGTATTGCAAGTCCCCACTTTCTGAGACTATGTGACCTATGTGATCCAGACTTTGCAAGGGGCAAGGTGAGTTACAGAGGCAGAAGGAGGTAAAATTTTAACTTTTCCTCTTCAGTAAGGAATCTGTCTGTAATGAGGGAAATCAGGGTTCGATCCCTTGGTCGGGAAGATCCCCTAGTGAAGAGGATGGCCACCCACTCCAGGATTCTTGCTTGGAGAATCCCATGGACAGAAGAGCCTGGCGGGCTACATACAACCCATGGGATTGCAAAGAGCCAGGCAAGACTGAGCAGCGAACGCTTTCTTTAACCCTTTCCCAACATGTGACCTAATGTGACCTAATTTGGAAATAAGGTCTTTGTGGATGTAATCAAGCTTAAATGATGTCATACCATAGTAAGGTGGGCCCAAATCTCGGGACTGGTGTCTGTATGAGAAAAGAGAGGTCTGGACACAGAATTACAGAGAAGAAGGCCATGTGATGACAGAGAAAGAGATCACAGTGATGCACTTGTCAGCAGTCACCAGGAGCTAGGAAGAGCCAGGAAGTATTCTTCTCCAGAACCTTCAGAGGGAGCAAGGCCCTGCAGATACCTTAATTTCAGACTTCTAGCCTCCAGGAGTGTTAGAGAATAAAGTCTGTTGTTTTAAGCCAGTTTGTGGTACTTTGTTATGGCAGCCCTAGTAATTCCCTGAGTCTTTCTCCTCAGCTGAAGAGACAGATGCATTAAAAGATCATTGTAATACAAAATGCCAATTATAATACAATGGAGGTATGTGCAAAGTGCTGCCCAGCACAGGGGAAGGAGTGATAAACTCTCTAAGAAAAATAGGGAAGTCCTCATAAATAAGGTGATATCTGAGTGGATTTTGAAGAATGAATGAGAGTTCATTAATCAAAAATTGTGGACAAAAGCATTTCAGGCAGAGTTGACAGCACATGCAAAGGACTGGAGGCTAATCGGTGTGTATGCCCAGAAGTGGGATTGCTGGGTCATATGGCAGTTCTATTTCCAGCTTTTTAAGAAATCTCCACACTGTTTTCCATAGTGGCTCAAATCTGTTTTCTCGAGTGCTGCTCATCTGATGCAAAGTGACCAAAATTGCCAAGCCTAAGACTTAGTGGCTCCTTTGCACTTTCAGCAAGGGATCCCCAATGCAGACCACCTTCACAAGGACCTTTTAAAAAGCATAGATTAGAATCTTACGCAGACCTAATGAATAAGAATTTCCAAAGTGGGGCCTGAAAATTCTCTATTTTTAAAAGACTACCCAGGTTATTACAATCAGCCAGGTTTGGGAATCACCTGCCTCCAGGGTAAATCCAAATTCTGTCTGTGATCTGACAACCCTACTCCCAGCTTCATTCCTCAGAATGCACCATGTTCCAGCAATACTGATTCAGCAAGGACTAATGATTCTTCCAACCCATGTTGTTTACCATCTCTCTATTAAGAATGTCTTCTTCTCTTATCTGCTTGGGAAGGTTTTACTTGTCCTTCAAAAACTCTACTCAAGCATCATATAGTGTCTTAGCCAGTAAATATCAACAAACTAGCAAAATTGTTTACGCTAAGTATGCACAGTTCTCTGTATGTAAATTTTCCTCAATAAAGCCGTTAAGAACTTACTGAGTTCCTACTAAACACCACACTCTGACCTAAGCATTGTGATAAACTACAATGGTATAACTGCCTTCAGTAAGCTCACATGTCATTGGAGGAGACGTACAAATAAACAATATAATGCAGTGAGGGAAATTCTGTGAGTCTATGGTAGGCTAAGTAATGCCCCAACATGATATCCACATCCTAAGCCCCCAGATCCATGAATATGTTTGTTTACATTGCAAAATATTGTGTAGATATTAAATTAAAGATTCTGAGATGAAGAGAATATCCTGGGTTATTTTGGTGGGCTCAGTGTGATCACTAGAGTCCTTTTAAGATGAAGGCAGGTGGAAAGTGAAAGGAGATTGGAAGATGCTATGCTACCAATTTTGAAAATGGAGGATGGAAACATGAGTCAAGGAATGCATGTGGCCTCTAAAAGGTGAAAAAAGAAAATGAATTCTTCAGTAGAGACTCTAGAAGGATCCAGCCCTGCCACCTTTAGTCCAGTGAGATCCATTTTGGACTTCTGGCCTCCAGAAATTAACTGTGTTGTTTTAAGTGATCATATTTGTAGTCATTTGTTACAGCAGCTATAGGAGGCTAATACAGAGGCCAACACAGGGCATATGTACATAAAGGAGTACATAAAGACAGTCTCTACATCAAGTTATGGAGTGAGAATGGGATGTTCAGGAAGAATTACCCAGAGATAACGACATAAGACCTGAGGATAGTGTTTCAAGGAAATGACATAGAGTAATAAGTACAGAGAGCATGCAAAGTGTTTCAATTTTGCAAGGCTATTAAAACAGTAAAAATAATATTAATTTTTCTAAGAGTAAATACCATTTGCATGCCAGGCACTCTTCTAAAGCACTTTTTAACTGTGAGCACTTTACAAGTTTGTATTTATCTTCATTTTACCTATAGGAATACTAAGATTTGGAGGGGTTAGTTTAACTATCCTGAGCTCATAGAGCTAGTAAAGGGCAAGTCTAAATCAGAAACTTGTTGGTCTGTCTTCAAAACCCACTAACTGCCTCTCTAATACATTGTAGTGGGGTACTTAAGTAAGGTGGCAACAGGGTGAAGTGAAGTGAAAGTCGCTCAGTAGTGTCCAACTCTGCCACCCCAAGGTCTATACAGTCCATGGAATTCTCCAGGCCAGAATACTGGAGTAGGTAGCCTTTCCCTTCTCCAGGGAATCTTCCCAACCCAGGGATCGAATCCAGGTCTCCCGCATTTGCAGGTGGATTCTTCACCAGCTGAGTCACAAGGGAAGCCCAAGAATATTGGAGTAGGTAACCTATCCCTTCTCCAGCAGATCATCCCGACCCAGGGATTGAACTGGGGTCTCCCACATTGCAGGTGGATTCTTTACCAACTGAGCTATCATGCAACAGCATAGCTGAAGTAAATCAAGTATTAGAAAGATATTGAGGTGAGGTTCAGCAGAGCTTGGAATATCATCTTGTTTTGGACACTGACAAGATTGGGTTGATGGAGAGTCAGGCAGCCTCCAATCTTTCGTGATCGTGGTTTTGTTACTGAAATGCAAATTCATGTGACCAATGCACAGTGAGGTCAAACAACAAAACATTGCAGTTTCGAGTAGAGAAAGGTTTATTGCAGGGCCATGCAAGGAGATGGTGGTTCATGCCGTAAAATCCCAAATTCTCCAAAAGCTTTCAGCAAAACCCTTTTATAGAAAAGGACAGGAAGGGGCACGGTTAGTTTCAAACTTCTTGGTGTCAGATCCTTTATTCTGGAGGTCAGTCATGGTCAAGTAAGGAGTCTCTTGTAAACCTCCACCAAACAAACGTTACTCTCTGTTCTGACAATAAGCGGCAAAGTCTCAAGACTCAACCTTCACCCGAGGTCCAGACCCTGGCTAAGAGAAGGGAGTTCCTGCCCCTGCTGGTTACCCTGCCAAGCAGCGTTCCTCCAGCACCCAGTCTGGGTCTTCCCACCAATGCTGAAGAGGTAGCTCTCAGCTATGGCTCCCTCAGGGCCAGGTCCCCAGATCCTGAACAGTGGTCATCACAGAGGGAGCCAGGCACCCAGGATACAACTGGCCCTCAGACTCCTCAGGCCACCCAAATGTCAGTTATGGGGCCCAAATCCTGCAGAATGTAGCCCATGCAGATGGCTGCTGCTATTATATCTCAGAGAGGAAGACAGGGCAGAGGTTCACTACCACCCTGAGGCCTGGGCCCAGCCACTGGGTGTAGTGAGGGCTCTGGAGCCCTGGGGGACACAATCCCCAAACTGTTCCCTGCCCGCCCCCTCCCCCAGCTCACCCACTGGCCCAAAGCAGGGTGAGCTGGACCAGTCCCCTGGAAGAACAGGATCCGCCTCTTAACTCACTTTCTACCTGAGAACCACACTCCACTGACCCTTGGCTAAATCCCCTCACTAAGGGTCACTCATTGATGGTTATTTGTGGGTGGGGCTCACTGCAACATCAACAATCACTAACCGTCATTCATTGACAGTTATTTACGGGATGGCCCACTATGGCACTAACCAATCACTGAGCAGGACCACTGCACAGTGTAATGGCACACGGCAACCCCATGTGCTAAGGGCTCCACTCTATTACAGTTTTGCCGCTGCTTCCTTGACTAACGTCAATTCCAAGGTGGCTCTAGTGGTAAAGAATCTGCCTACTCAGGCAGGAGACCCAAGAGATGTGGGTTCCATCACTGGGTTGGGAAGATCCCCTGGAGAAGGAAATGGCAACCCACTCCAGTATTATTACCTGGAAAATTCCATGGAGAGGGGCCTGGCTGGTTGCAGTCCATGGGACACAAAGAGAGGGACATGACTGAGTGACTAAATACACACACACACACACACACACACACACACACACACACCCATCCTTGACTAACTCTAAGTTTTCTGTGTTGCAAACGTACATTCTGCATAAGGCTCTTTATTCCATTTCTTCCTTTTCTCCTAATGGCTGAGGTGGAGATGGGGGTGTATGCTACTCAACTACAGGTCTTACTTTTCACGTCTGTAAAAGGCCTTGAAGTAATTCCCAAACTGGCTGCGCCTCAGAAGCCCATGGGGAAGCATAAACACAAGGACAAAGCCTCAACCCATTTCGAGATTCTGTTTGTGTAGTACTAGGATAGGGCGCCCCCAAAATCTCCCAGGTGATTCTGATACACTACCAGGTATTTCAGGTTCACCATACTTAGTCCACGGTTCCGTTAAAGACCCCGCCCCTGCCCCACCCTTTGCCCTCTACCTCCCCGTGACGTCGGCTCATCTCCCCTCCTTCGGTCCCTCCACTTGGTCTCGCCCAGCCCCGCCCTTCCCACTGCCTCTCCTGCCTCCCAAGATGGCTACGCCGTTGCCGGGCCCGGAGCCGTGGAACCGGGTGAGGATCCCTAAGGCAGGGAGCCGCAGCGCAGTGACCGTACAGGACCCAGATACGGCGCTAGGTGAGTGAGGCGCCCGGCTAGGGGCGCAGGCTTTTCCGGAGGCGGCGTGGGGCCGGCGCACGTGCACGGTGGGCGGGACTTCTGGAGCCCGCGGGACACTGGGAAGGGCCGAAGGGCCCGGGGCTGGGGAATTTGCCAAGGAGTCTCGTGGGGGCATCTGGCTTTACAGTTCTTCGCTAGATCCACCGTGTCTATCGCAGGGTCTGGCAGGGGCACCGAAGGCTCACGACCCAGCACCGCAGCGAAATGGGGGAGAGGGGCGTACACAACTGGTGTCAGGGAAAAGTGCCGCCTGGGAACTCGGCGTTCACTCAGCCACCAAGAGGCGTGGTTAGCCCTCCGTCTCTGCCGCGCTCTTCCTCCGAAGGGCTGCGGGTCGTCGTCACTCAAGCACTCTGCAATTAACCCGCAATTTTCCTGGGTCGCCCGTTCCTTATCTGTAAAATGGGGTTAGTTTTCCCTGGCTATCACCAGGTCTTTGGGAGGATCTAATGATGTCCTTTAGGAGAGCGTGCTCTAACAATGTTTGAATGGCACTGCGATTATTAGGCAGTAGGGAAGTAAGGTGGCGCTAGTGGGAAGGAACCCACCTTTCTTTTGGTAGAAGAGGCACAGGTTCGATCCCTGGGTCAGGAAGATCCCCTGGAGGAGGGCATAGCAACCCACTCCAGTATTCTTGCCTGGACAATCCCATGGGCAGAGGAGCCTGGCTGGGCCGCAGTCCATAGGGTCGCACAGAGTCGGACACGACTGAAGCGACTTAACAGGCACACAGGTCAGTAAGAACTGGGCTGTGGGATTGAATCCTGGCTCTTCCCTCTGCTGGAACTCGGTGAGCAGTGGGGAATGTCTTAACATTTCTGGGCCTCAGCTTATTTTCCAATGGGAATAAAAATAGTACTTTATTCATAGAGCAGTTCTGCTGAAAGTATTATAGAGTAAAAATATAAAGTATTATTAATATAAAGTGAGTATTTGGAACAGTGCCTGATATAGTATAATGATCAGTTCAGTCCAGTCGCTCAGTTGTGTCCGACTCTTTGTGACCCCATGGAATGCAGTAAGCCAGGCTTCCCTGTCCATCACCAACTCCTGGAGATTACTCAAACTCATGTCCGTTGAGTCAGTGATGCCACCCATCTCATCCTCTGTCCTCCCCTTCTCCTCCTGTCTTCAATCATTCCCAGCATCAGGGTCTTTTCAAATGAGTCAGTTCTTCATATCAGGTGGCCAAAGTATTGGGAGTTTCAGCTTCAGCATCAGTCTTTCCAATGAATATTCAGGACTGATTTTCTTTAGGATGGACTGGTTGGATCTCCTTGCAGATGATCAGTTCAGTTCAGTCGCTCAGTCATGTCCAACTCTTTGTGGCCCCATGAATTGCAGCAGGCCAGGCCTCCCTGTCCATCACAAACTCCCAGAGTTTACTCAAACTCATGCCCATTGAGTCGGTGATGCCATCTAACCATCTCATCCTCTGTCATTCCCTTCTCCTCCTGCCCTCAATCTTTCCCAGCATCAGGTTCTTTCCCAGTGAGTCAGTTCTTCGCATCAGGTGGACCAAGTATTCGAGTTTCAGCTTCAGCATTAGTCCTTCCAATGAATATTCAGGGTTGATTTCCTTTAGGATTGACTAGTGGATCTCCTTGCTGTCCTAGGGACTCTCAAGAGTCTTCTCCAACACCACAGTTTAAAAGCATCAATTCTTTGGTGCTCAGCCTTCTTTATAGTCCAACTCTTACATCCATGACTCTTCCCTGTTGGCTCAGATGGTAAAGAGTCTACCTTCATTGTGGGAGACCTGGCTTTGATCTCTGGGTCAGGGAGATCCCCTGGAGAAGGAAATGGCAACCCACTCCAGTACTCTTGCCTGGAAAATTCCATGGATGGAAGAGCCTGGTAAGCTAC